CCTGCCCAATGCTGCCCTCTACAGAATCCACCCCCCAAATCTCCAGGTATTTCCCTCCTTAGAGCTGGCAACCCTACTTTCCCCTCAGTGCCTGTTGGTAGGCAGCTAAGCTTGGTCCTGTCACCTACTTTGGCCTTTGGGAGAAAACACATTGGGGCCAGTCCTGATAGGGTTGCCAACTCCAGATGGGAAATTCCTGGAGATTTGAGGGATGGAGCCTGAAGAGGGTGAGGTTTGAGGAGGGGTGGGACCTCAGACAGGTACACTGCCATAGACTCCACCCTCCAAACCAGTCAGTCCCACATAGGGAACCATTGTTGCCAATCTCCAGGTGAGGGCTGGAGAGCACTCAGAATTACAACTGCTCTGCAGAAGGGAGGGCAGAAGTCAGCTGAAGTCAAAGGGGCAGATAATGGTAGGTTGGTGGCTAGCTGGGAAGGAGATGGGGTTGCCAACTACATGCTGACAAATTCCTGGGGATTTGAGGGGTGGAGCCTGGAGAGGGTGGGGTTTGCAGAGGGGTGGGACCTCAGACAGGTAGAATGCCATAGACTCCACCCTCCAAACCAGCCATTTTGTCCTGGGTAACAATTGTTGCCAATCTCCAGGTGAGGGCTACAGATTACTCACAATTACAACTGCTCTTCAGGTAGCAGAGATCAGTTCCTCTGGAGAAAACAGTGGACTCTGTCATTATACCCTGCTGAGGTCACCACAGCAAATTGACACTGTTTGCCCAAAGCCAGAGCACTCCCCCAGAGCCTCTTTCTAGATCTCGTTGTATTGTTTTCACAACGGGCTTTACTGCTAGTACATAAATAAGAAATGATTTCCATGTTTAGTTCTCCCATTCTCAGAAGAGCACCTTAGCAAGTCCTTTTTGAGTGACAAATGCTCTGAGATCCTAGTCATGTTACAACAAATTATGTATACATTGTGTTACAGACTTCTTTTTATTATAATTATTAGGTTTATATCCTGCCTTTCTTCCATTATGGGAATTGAGGATTGCATATAGGGAGTTCTTTGGTTTAAAGTGTATGCTCCAGCTGTTTCTATTTAACATAGATAGTGCCTATTGTCTGATCCTTGTCTCTGGTAAACCATTGTCTTGAATTTTTCCCATTGGGGGCGGGGATTCATTATTAAAATCTTATTGGAGTGAGTTGTTAAATTTGCCATTCTTCAGGTATGTGCCCCAGTCTGTAGAATTTAAATCTTTGTAAATTGGAGGCAGCTCAGTCCACAGCAGCGGTATGCCCTTCTAAATCCATTGAAGTCAGTGGACTTTAATGGGTGTAACTTTGCTAAGGATTGCCCTGTTAAAAACTGTATAATATGTAAATTAAGAACACAAAACTAATTTGGCTTCCTGTTAAAATTATCTCATACCCATCATCAATTTAATTTACTAAATGCCTCCCAACCTGCTATTATGTTGGTTTTCTTATTCTAATTCCCATTTTGTTAATTGGGGGGGCGGCCTTGGAGTTAATTTGTCTTGTTAATTTGAGGGGGGGGCACATGGCTTTGTATTGTATGAATGAGCCTTGAAAGATCTTATGACACAATTGTGCAATTCTTCTTCCCTTACAGACTACAATTTAATTAGTTAGGTTGGGAATCAGTCATAGGGCCAAGTTTTGCATAACATCAATTTATAGCAGTAGAAAAGTGTCAGAGTCACTGTTCACTTCTTCAGATACCCAGTGTGCAGTGACTCACGCAAGCTCATACCCTACCACAAATTTTGTTAGTCTTTAAGGTGCTACTGGACTCTGACTCTTTTCTACTTCTGCAGACAGACTAACATGGGTACCCATCTTCATCTGTCGACTTATAGGTGTAGTTACCTGTTCATGCCTGAAAGCAGAGAATGTGCATCTAGATTTGAACGAGAACACAGGCAAGGAAACCACACCCTGTCAAGGCAATGGCCGTGGCTCAGTGGCAGAGTATTTGCTTTGCTTCCAGAAGGTCCCAGGCTCAGTCTCCAGCTAAAAGGACCAGACAGTAGAGGATGTGACAGATGTTTGCCTAAGACCTTGGAGAGCCACTGCCACTCTGAGTAGACAGTACTGACCTTGATGGACCAATGATCTGATTCAGGAAGCTTCATATGTCTTATTTCGCTGTGCTCAGACACTTTCATTACTTTCCTTCCAGCCAGACTTCCTTCAGGTGTCAAAGCTGATGTGGGTAAAAAAATCCTTACAGTATCAGAAAGTGGCAAGACATGGAGGAGGAGAGGAGAAGCAGGCCTGCTTCCCTTGCCTGCACTCTCTGTTTTGATTTAAAAACAGACTGCCTATGAATGGATGGGCAGGTATAGGTGCCTGTGGAGCCCCCATCACATCTAGTTTGGCCAACAGTTTGCTGTTAACATGTGAACCAGTAAACTGTAGTTAGTGCTTGCTCAGCAAACCAGGATTGCAAAAATAGGTAAAGCACGGTTTGCAGTCCTTGTTTTCAGGACACAGATACTTAGCTCAGATATAACCTAAAGTTCTGTCTGCATATATGAGTTATGGGATGAAGAAGGTGCCTGATCTCTCTCCAGGTGAGGCATGCTGTCTTCCAGTTCCCACACTGCTCTCTTTTCTCTGTCTACCAGTGCTATAATGCAATATTCTTTTGTCTCCATCATGCATCAAATGAAGTAAGGTCCCTGCCACACGGGGGGAAAAAGTCGGGCAAAAGTGCGGCTTTTAAAAGCCGCACCAAAATAGGCACGCGGCGGCAGGATCATATAGATCCTGTGAGCCGCGGCGCAATTGCTCCCCGGCACGATCAGATGCCGGGGAGACAGTGACGGGAGGCTGCCGAACGCATGTCTGAGTATGCGCTGTTCGGCCAGGAGCCGGGGATGCGCCGGCGATCCCACGGCCGGCCTTGATGTGGCCTTGCCAGAAGAATCACCTCGGTAGGTGGTTTATTTTTGCTGCGTGTTTTGGGCGGAAGGGCCGGATCGGGGACGGGTGCGCAACGCTTCCCAGATGTTGCGGTGGAATCGCGCCCATTTGCTGCGCCCCCGATCCGTCCCTCTCCCGGCCCAAAACCTCTCATGTGACCGGGGCCTAAGTTAACTTCCCTAGAAAACCTCATGTCAGAATGCTGTGGCTTCCTTTGCTTCTGTTGATATGAGCAAGATATCATGTACTTCTGGAATTTATCTGACATTTTCATTTCTTTTGAAGTCCAGTTACTGTCTTGTCACAACTTTTTTTTCAACAATGGTGTTTAAGAGAACAGTTTTGTCTGTGAGCCAGACTATATTCTGAGCCAGCATAAGCTTGAGAGCCAGTCAAGTGCAGTGATAATGGTTAACTACAATCAGGAAGATGTTCAGTTTCCCACTCTGAGGTGAAGCTCATGGGCAACAATTGGCAATCACTTCCTCTCTCCCTCACAGGGTTACTGTGAAGAGAAAACAGAAGAGGAGAAAATCATGTACGCTACACAAAACTCCCTGGAGGAAGGGGCAGGGAATAAAAAAAAAACTGACGGTGAACATGAAACATGGCTGACTTAGCTAGCAGTATAGTTTAAAATAGACATTCCCAGTCATTAGAGTTCTACAAGGGGCACTGAAGAGTACCTTGTTTGGTGCCAGTTTGGTGCCAGTCTGGGAGAACCGGGTTTGATTCCCCACTCCTCCACTTGCACCTGGCTGGATGCCCTTGGGCAAGCCATAACTCTGGCACAGCTGTTCTTGAAAAAGAGCAGTTTCTGTCAAGAGCTCTCTCAGCCCCACCTACCTCACAGGGTGTCCATTGTGAGGAGGGGAAGGGAAAGGAGATTGTAAGCCGCTCTGAGACACCTTTGGGTAGTGAAGGGCGGGGTATAAATCCAATCTCTTCTTCTTCTTCTTGTAAACTTGAAGCACCATGTTGGACATATCCTCTGCACTGTGTGCCACAGTCTTAGGGGGGAAAACCAGGGCAATATTCTTCTTGTCTTCTCTCTGCCATTCTTATTATTTGGATGGCAAAAGTCTGTTCATCATGACATTTAATTGAGAAGGAGCTGTTCAGATTTCTGCCCAATCTCCAAGATTTAGAGAAGAGATGTTGGATTCCAGTCCAGCAGCACCTTAGAGACCAGCAGGATTTGGGGGGGGGGGGTTGAGCTTTCAAGAGCTGAAGCTCCCTCCTGCAGACAGTCCAGTCCAAGCTTGGTTGTGTATTTAATTTACTGTTTTGATGTATAGCTACTGGCATTAGATTTTTTTTTCCCTGGTACATACCATGCCGAAAATGTCTCTGTTAGGCCCTGAAGTCCTCCCTTTTCGACTAGTTCTTCTATTTCTTTCTCAGACAATGAATATATATTTATTGACCTGGAGCAGAAACTTTGCAAATACTTCATAAAGGAATGGAAGAAAGAGACAAGCAAAGTAAGTAAAGCGATGAAGCAAAATACATTGTGTGGTTTTGACTGAAGTTTGTGACATGCTGAGGCTTCCTTTTGTAGGAACTGAAACTAACATTCCTATTTCATACAGTGTCAGTTTTGTTGCGCAGGTGTTAGCTTGTCAGTCTTCTTTCACTGTTGCTAAGTCAAGTCCAAAATTCTTCAGTACCATCAAGAGCAAACAAAGGTTGTGACACAGTTGGAAACTAAACTAAGGTTTCCATAGCCACCTTAATTTTCAGTGATATCCATCCATTCATGTTTACAAAATGTTGCTGCTGTAAATCTATCAGAAGTGAGTTAGCAATGGTCTTATAGCCAGAAATTTGGGAACACACTATGGTTAAAGATCAAGATGAGTTAGTCTGTCCGTAGCAGTTAAGGAGAAGGAGAAGAAGAGAAGAGATTGGATTTATACCCCACCCTTCACTACCTGAAGAAGGCTCAGAGCATTTTGTAATCTCCTTTCCCTTCCTCTCCCCACAACAGACACCTGTGAGGTAGTGGGGGCTGAGAGAGCTCTTTCCAGAACTGCTCGTAAGAGAACAGCTCTGAAAGAACTTATGACTCACCCAAGGTCATGCCAGCAGCTGCATGTGGAGGAGTGGGGAATCAAACCCGGTCCTCCCAGATTAGAGTCCACGCTCCTAACCACTACACCAACTGGCTCTCTGCTGCTCACTTCTTCAGATTCTTCACGGGTATCTGAAGAAGTGAGCGGTGACTCACGAAAGCTCCTACCCTGCCACATATTTTGTTAGTCTTTAAGGTGCTACTGGACTCTTGCTCTTTTCTACTGTTTTGGTTACAGTATGGGTAGGATTGCAAGCTTTTCAACTTACCCCTGT